CAGTTTCTCTTGTCAGCAGGGCCTTTTTCCCTTAACTTCAATGCCCAGCACTTCAAGCGTCCTGTCCTTTCCCCTGAAGGACAACTTGGGTAAAAAGTTCCTTTCAGCTCCAAGTAGGCAATGAGTTGTAAATATTGTCCGTTTCCCCACTTCTCACGCAAGATAACACTTGAACTCATTCACTCCCCTTTATAGATAGGGAAACTGAGGCACACAACGCAGATGTTTTTAAGAATAAAGAAACAAAGAGCCCCAACTGCTACAGGCTGTTCTTACTCCCTTCACAGAAGCAACTGAAAGACCCTGCAGAGAGCAAAGCCCATGTTTGCGCTGGGCTTGCGTAAGCCATGTTTCCCCTAGGACCTGTCTCTTCTCTTAGTTGTTGCTCCTTGCCTTCAATCTATCCATGGGGTTGGTTTGTGGTTTTTTTTTTTTTAATTTTTCTTACACTAGCTGTGACGTCTGTCTTGTAACAGAGCAAATGCTTAAAATCAGTCCAGGCTGTCCATTTGCAGCATAGCAGATGCACGTGTAACTCAGCCACAGGGACATAGCAAATTTTCCATCAAAGAGTGGGAAGACTTGTATGGTTTGGACGTAAGATGAAGCCTTCAAAGGACCCACCACTCCTTGCAGCGACCCGTGTTGGTCTTGCCACCACCCAATCCCTCGGTGGATTTTTCAGGATTTACATCACCACTCCGGAGGGTTAACGACACTCTTCTCACAGCTTTACGCAGAAGTAATATCAGCTGTAGTCAGCAAAAAGCGGAGTACTGCAAACACAGGTCTTGGCAGCAAAGTGAAGAGAGAACAGACCATCAACCAAAAAATTTGGTGTTGCGTTTATTTGTAACTCTTTAATCTCCCCAGCAGTTTGTTCCACAAATGACTAAGAATTAGGGTTTCACTGATAGTTACTTAAAAATGAGCTGTGGGGAAAGCGCTTACAATTTACCTAACTATGTAGCTGTAACATAGCGTAGAAGTGTTGTCTTCATGTACAGAGATGAGGGAAATCAATTGCAGCTCCCAAGGGGCAGACGTATTGGTTGAGAAGGTCACTAAATACTTGCAGTTGCTCAATGGACTTGGAACCAGATCCCCTCTGCGCTGCATCGCTGCTCGGCTCCGCGCCGAGAGGGGGAAGAAAGGGAACGCGTGCATCTGGGAAATGCTCTTTATCCTCTCCAAAATGGTCTTATCAAGGGCAGAAGAATGAAGGGAGGGAGGCATTCAGCATGCCCAAAGAGTCATATGCTGTTTGTATCATTCACAGGCACATATTGAGGATTACTTTGGTCCACATTGTTGAATACAAGCGTGCTTATAGCTCCTGCTCAGGAGAAATAGGTTGAAAACTGTTCAGCCTTTACAGAAAATATTACGGTTGCAATGCTGTCAAGGTCACTGTCAGCCTGGGTTATCTACTGTGCAAGTGCTAGCTGCACAAATCAGGCCTAGCTAAGGGCTATAATTCATACACTCAGCATTTTGTGGATTATGTCCTTTAGCTTTCCCTCATTGCCATTTTGGATATTCATTTAGCTGCGGTGTATGACTGCCGCAATTTCTCTTTGGGGTAATTTCCCCATGTGATGCAGTGTTTCTCTGTACATTCCTTAATCACAGGCATATGAATTCGCTCTGTATGAGTAATTTTATATATAATGTTTATTGTTATCTTCGAACGCAGATGGTTCACCTTTTGGACAAAACAATAGAAAAATGCAGGTTACAGGGGAAAAAAAAATCAATTAAAAAATTACAAAACCCACAGGAATTATTAACAAGGAAGCTCCAGTGGTTAAGGCACCCACAGGAGAGTCAGGAAACCTCAGCTCTCATCCCTATTCTGACCCAGACTTCTTCAGGAGCTTTCTGATTTCCAGGTCCCAGCTTTTGTTTCTAAAATAAAGATTATCTTATTTCCCACCTCGTGGATTTTTTGAGATGAACTGAATTCCTGATTCTAAAAAGTATTGTAAGAAAGTATTACAAGGAGCAGTTCTAGCATAAACGTATGCTATTATATTATCTTACAAAACTGAAGGCATCAGTAATAAGAAGAGTGGTGGAAAATAAAAAACAATTTTTTTTCTGTCCAACAAAGCAATCATTCTGTATAATCAAAAAAAGCCGTTAGATTGTGTAATCCAGAAACACATTCCCTCCAATAATGAGTTGTGATAGTCTAAAGAATGTGTGCATGTGCTCATCTCCTGTATGCCGGGCTAGCTGGGGCAGTAATCTTGAAATAGGCTACTTAGATCCACAGGTCCATACTGCAAGGAAAGGACCGTCTCCGCTGAGATACTATGCTAAAATGCGTGTACCTCATTCTGTAAGATTTTCAGCCAAGACATGATTTTTTAAATTTTTTTTTTTCCTGTTAGTGTTGAAGTTGCAGTATGTTAGCTTAAATCCTTCAGTTACCTGGTTCTCCTTCGCAGTACTTCTAGCTAATGGTAGTTTTTGCCCCACAACACCACAACAGTTTCTTTATATCCTTTACACCCCAGATGCGCAGGCACCTTCACGACTTTAGGACATTGCCTGTTTCTCTCCAGCACTGTGATTCAGTCAAGCATCTTGGCATAAGTCTTTCTCGCTGCTTACTCCTTCTAAACAATTTAACGCATTTAAGTGGCCTTGAATGTGATCACTTCTACTGCACAGCTGGGATTACAGAAAATCCCCAGAATCAACCAGCCTGAAACTTCTGAACCTGAAATTTGACTCACAGTGTTGTTGCCTCAGGCCCAATCTTCTGCGTTGCAGACAGTTTGGCTCAGGGTGAAAATAATGGGTATAGTCGCTTACACAAAGTCCCTTTTTTCATTTTGTCTGATCTGATCCTATTTATACATGCAAAGAAATAATTTTTAAAGTGTTTCAGCTTTTGCTGCTGATTAATTATCAACCCCTTTCAAATGAATTTTCCTTTCCTTCCTCTTGTCTGCTCTCCTAAAAAAAAATACTAAAAAAAAAAAAAAAAAAAAAAAAGACTGTCAGGTATTAAGCTTTACTGACCAAATGGAGAAACTTGATGTACCCTAGGTCAGTTATTACACATGCACATTCGGTTCATATTATTGCCACTTAAACATACAGGTCACCCGTGGTGATGCGCAATGTTTAAAAGTGCCCATGGGTAGACTGAAACACCCTTGTGTTTTCCCTAATGACTCGTCTGTCAGTAGGGAACAGGTGTTTTAGAATGTACTTTGGACAGAAAGTGAAATATTGAGGAAAATTTAAATTATCTTAGGTACTTAGAAATGCATAAAATTATCCATTGCTTAATCAATTATACGCACACACATGCACTCCCCCACAGAAGAGGCTGGATGAAGCATCTACATTATTTGATGTAATTATGTTGGTTGTAAAATAAAATGCAATTGATACGGAGTATTTCTGGGTTTATTTGCCATATGTGGCACACAAAAACAAATGGTAGGTTACCTCTGAATTTTTATTTCAAGTATGTTACACACATTTATATGTAAAAATTGATTATAAAAAAGCAAATGTGGCATTAATTTACCATGCTCTAAGTAAATTGCGTATCCCTTGGAACAATTCTTCTGGTCAGGAGCCCCTTGGACTCCAGCAATGTCAACATCTACCCTGCTCACAGAGGCAATACTGAGGGATGCACGGTGCTTTCTTCCCATCAGCACTTCAAAATTAGTCAAAGATTACAGAAGGAGCCTCCTTGTCAACAGCCTGGAAACTGCATTGAAAATCTTAAAGTTGCAGTTTAGTTCTTGAAGGATTTTTTTTTTTTTTAAAGATTCTGTTCTTAAGTGCTTGCAAATTCTCGTATTTTGGCCCAAATTCTCATGTTGTGGCATGAACACCCACAGTCAGTCTAGACTCCTCTTGCTTCACCTTCTGCACCAGGAGCCCGATAAAGGAGGTTCCTTGATATCAGACTCCAGAATCTCTCTTGCTTTCTTTGGTCCAAGAGGGCAAGTCTTCTCTCCCTTACGTTGTGTGCCAGAGTTCAGCTTTCCTTATGTCCTTGTTTCACATACACTACACACTGTCAGCAGCAAAAGCAGGTGCTCATATGCCAAATCTTCCATTCCTATGTCTCACGTTTGACTTAATACATCTCAAAAATATGGACAGTCGATTTCTTCCAAGCTGTGGGTTTGGTCCTTACTCGTGTAACTTGCCTGACATAGATGTTGCACACATTTGGTTTCATGTTTTATAAAACACAAAATAAGTCATCTTTACATGTCCTTAATATCAATCACAGATTTCTTCATTCTTATTTTTGTTGTTTTAAGGGTAACAGTCCTGTTGAAGTTTCCTATGGATTGACTTATCTAGAGATGCCTCTGGGAAATGTGTCCCTATTTCTCTTGCGGAGATAGAAAGTTCCTCTCCATCCAGAAAGATTTCCAGATTATTTTCTCCCTTCTTACATTTCAGCCCGTCTGTCACTCCGAGAATTCAAAGTGAATGTTCATTTGATCCACCTAGGACAAGAGCATGAAGTTGCCTCTCCAGCTTACTTGAACACCACATGACAAGTTACACCCCATTTGCAGTGAAGGAGCTCCATCCAGAACCAGGCTCAGAGCCAGAGGCAGACCCGCACACCCACCTTTTCATACTGCAGCACCTGTTGTGTTTACTTTTGAAAGACGAGGGCTACTAGTTTAGTGAAGAGCTTAATCCCCCGGCTTTGCGCTGCCATGGCCTCCCTGTACTTGGTCTTTGTATCACAGGCATGTTCTTGCTCAGAACAAGAGGGCTGAACAGCAGAGTGAGATAAAGTTGATAACAACTTTGTAACAGCATCGGAAGATCGTTGTGTAGATGTAATGGTACCTCTTAGCTGCCTAACTCCCAAAAGTTACTGTAGTGCATAACAGTGCTTCTCGAAGGCTTGTCCAGCGCAGGCGGATCACTGACAGGTTACCTATACTTTCAGGCTGTTCTGAAGAGGCCATATATTACCATTTATTTCCTCTCCGTACCACCCAGCCATCCACCTAGTGTCATGTTTACTGATGAGCCCATGGTGCTGTCAACATCAACTTGGACGGATCTTGAAGTAAGCTCATTTTTGCAAGCGCTGTCACTGTTTAAATCCTGAAAAGTTCTCATTTCATGTACATTGATGAGGGTAAGCATGTGTTTCATATCTGGTCTGTTTTTTTGATAATTGGGAGACATACTCTCTTTTCTTAGACACGTCTAAAAGAGAAAACAGAAAGGAAAGCTTAAAACTGAGAATTCTTATGAAAGGCAAGTTTATTTGAAGTTTGAAAGTTTTGTTTTTTCTCCTTGCTAAGCATAGCTCATTACACCTTTTCCATTTGTTTGTCACCAGAAGCATCTAGCACAAAGAAAAGCTGCCATTTCTTGCTCAGTCAAGGAGCTTTATAGGACAAAAGCCTAAGTCACAAAAGGAAATTTACATTTACTTTAAGTTTTCATATGAATAGGCCTTGCATAAAGCTCTTGCAAGTGTGTTTCCACCTGCCTTCAATACAGACCAGTGTCTGAAATATTTTCATCAAGTTGTCAGAGTAAAGCCCCAGTCCTGCCAACCAGTCTTAAACTTAATGTCGCTGTTGAATTTAGTGGAGATAAGGCACGATCTCCACTAAAGGAGAGGACAAGGCAACCTGTAAGGACTTAACAGGCATTTTAAATAATGAAGCTCACTTGTGAAATCAGGGCAATATTAAATTTTGATGAAAGCTAGCTTGATACCTGAGACTGGACCTCACCCAAGGGTAAGATACACATAATTCCACTGGAGTGGTTATCTTCACTACATGGCTCTGCTTTTTTTTAACAGCACCGTTAAAACTGAGACTTTTTTTTAGATATGGGAAGGAGAGATCTGAAATTCTTTCAGGACACTGAGTAGAACAGGGGCATCTGTCTCTTCTGAATGATATCCTTGCTTTCATACTTTCATCCCAACAAATTCCTACAAGACTTATCCTGTCAAACTTTAGTCTGAACAGCACAAATTACTGGCAGGATTGTCAATCTAACAAAAAGACAGGCATAAATTTAATTGCTCCCTGAAGATACATGAAGATCTACATTTAGCTGCAACTAATTAGATATTCTCCAATCAACAGTTATGATTCATCTGCTGAGGAGCAAAACAAGAAGGCAAATATGAAATAGGCAGCAGAAGTTAAACCTGACCTCCCAAAATGCTGGGGTTGGTTTGGTTTGGTTTTTAATTAGAAATGCGGCTGGTGTTGCACTGTACACCCAAGGCTGACGCTGCCTCTAAGGCAGGAGGTGCAGAGCTCTGCACGGGGGGGACCTCACCGCTCCCGCAGACAACGCATCGATTTGCTTCTGTGAAGTGAGCTTCCTGAATACCTCCTCTCCCCACCTTCCCCAGAACCACCAGCTGGCATTAAAGGTATGGATAAAGCCCCAAGGAAGCTCTTTTCCAAGGATCTTAAAATGCCTGTTTAACAAGAAAGACGGAGCTTCACAAAAACGCCCATCTGAAGTGGGGTTGTCACCAATTTAAAGGCATGGAAACTGAGGCAACAAGTAGGTGGACTTGAACTTGTCCATTGTGCTGCCACACAACACAATGCCGTAGGTGGGGAAGGGATCCCAGGGGCCTGTGCCTCCATCTCAGGCAAATGCTGTTCCCAAGCACCAAACCAGAAAAGCTGTTGATGTGCCCTAAAGCTGAAGAGTAGCTTGCGCTCAGTGTACCTGGAAGCAGAAATGGGCTGCGTGGTGCAGGAAAATAACTGTCTGGTTTGAGTTAGATCAGGGTGCAGTGAAATGTTTTATTTCTTTGGGACTCCATCCTTGCTCCTCATGCACCTGAGTTTCCTCTGGCTTTGAAAATACTGTGTGAGTATTTGAAGAATTTGGTCATAAATGAAATACGAACACCAACTTCTGACCAGCTGTCTTAAAGGTGGTGCTAGCAGAGAAAATGAGTGCGGTTTTTTTGTTGGTTTTGGTTGGTTTGTTTTGTGAGAAATGGAATTACTTACACAGGTAAAAAAGATGAGCAGCAAGTAAAAAATCCCAAGGCAAGTCAGCATGAAAAGCTCAGATTTGTATTTTTTAAATTTTTCATCTTCTATTCCAGGGCAACCTAAAAAGTAAATCAAGGCGTTACATTGTTCAGGTGTTTGTAAAATATTTTTGAACTGTTGCCTTCATGAAATGCCATGCAGAGCACGGGACAGTTAAGAGCCTCTACTGTACCTGTTACTTTTAATGTGACTGTGCCGCTCAGATTGCGTTCTCCACTCTGTTCCCACAAAGTGCACTTATAAATCCCACTGTTTCGGCTGGTTGTGTTTTTGATCTTCAGTGAAAAGAAGGTGTCGTTGGAGAGCTCCAGGGACCCCCCAAGTTCTTTGGGATAATGAGATTCCACATCAAGGACTTTCCATGCTATTCCTTCACCATCTCCAGCCATCTGGAAAACACAAATATATTTCTCGTCTTGGGCAACAGGGTCATTCTGAGTTCTAGGGGAAAGAGAGTTTTAAAGCTGGCTTATGGCTGAAAACGCAGAGGCTGAAGAGAGGCGGGGGGGAACCTCAAAAGCGTCTAATACGTTCATGCTCACAATCGAAAAGTATTTGCTTTTTTGCTTAAATAGACACTATATTTACAGATACTATAAAGCTATTCTGTAGTAGCTTCTTAATCTGCCTCACCAGGAGACAATCCTGGTAGAGACGTAACATGATAAAAGGCAGCAGCAGAGTTTGCTCTCCAAGTGTCTACGCAGAGGCCCCAAAAGCGTTCAAACAGAGAGCGACAGCGCAG